ACTATTTTGTAAAAGATATGATTTACACTTAGTGGATTATTTGGAGTCTTTTAGTTAAAATATATAAATATCGTGTATTTGTTGATCTTTTTTTTTTTCCTATTTTCCCTGCGCATTATTCTTCTGTAATTTTTACTTTCTCTTTTTCATAATGCTACATTTTAATTCTGATATTTTTGTGCAGAGTTGGCTTGTTTCCTTTCTGCATCTTTTACACACTAATTTTCCTTATCTGAAATACCTGACTGACTTTGATGGAGTAATAGCAAGGCTAAGTATAAAATTCAACTATCAAGGATGATGATTCATATCTGTGCCACTCTTGGATGGGTTAGCATATTGGCTGTTGCTTTTTGCCTTTATATAGTCACATCTCTCTGGAAAATGAAAGCAAAGAGGGTGATAATTCAACTCCACTTTTTGTCTCTATCTCTGAAATCTAAGGGGTTTAAAACTTATTTTTCAGTTTGGGACAATGGTGATGATATATTTCAACTGGGTTTGCAAATAAAAAACAATAATAATTTGTTATGGATATAGTATCATATAGTATATGTGACTATATCTTCATAATTGCTTTTGCATAGTTCTCAAGTGTTCAAAAGTGAACGTGGAATAAACACCATTATGGCTGGGGCTCTTCCCACCGTCATTTTTAGTAGTTTGAACTGTTCTCACAGTTTAGAGACTGCATTTGGGCTATGTTAGCACTAGTGTACGCTTAAAAGTAATCAGTTCTTAGCTACTAGAGATTTTGTTTGGCAGACTAACAGTTGAAAGCTTTCTTGTGTGAGGTTTTGCTTAAGGCAACTCATGAGACTCTTGCAGAAACGCATATGGTGGTGGTTGTTGGTTTTTTAAATCTATGAGGGAGACTCTCAAAACCACAGGATAGTCAGTCATCAAAGCAAGTCATTGCATAGACTTAGAGTAGCTGTTCGTGAAAAGTTTTGAGGTGCTGGCATGTAAGACTGGGGTACACCCCTGCAAGTGTTGTATTTAATTCCATTGAGCATCTACTTAACCACTCCCTTCAACATGCACAGATTCACAGGGAATTCATTCTGTTCCCTTTCAAGATACGCAGATCTGATCTGGATCCTCAGTCCAGCTAAAATGTCCTACTCATTGCCGCTCAGTAACATGCCTGAAGCACAGGCTCGGCTGCTGACTGGATACTGGCGGAGTATGATAATACAGTGACCGTACGCCTGAACTGAAGCTAACTCCTGACTGACCAGCTTGGTGTGCAGATAGCTTGAACTCACATTGTCAGTGTAGGTGGATAGCTTGAGATTAGATTCCTTTATGGAAAATTGTATCAAAAATTCCTAGGGTAATTCCTGTCCTGTTAACTGCCAGAGAGAGGTAGCTCTCTTATGGGAGAAGGGACCTTAACAATGTAAGTATGCTTTTGATATCTATCATACTCGTTATATAAGAAGCCATAAGTTAGTGAACCAAAATAACTTTCAAGAAGGTATTATAGTTTCATCCTCTGTTGGGGTAGGTGGAATTTTACTTGGTCTTTTCATAAGACTGCTGGTCTTTAAATAGGTTTCACCTCACTAACAGGAAGACTTTCTTGAAAACTGTGTGTCCCACAAGAGGGCACTGCAGCATCAAAACTAAGCTACTGAACTCTTAGCCGTGCTTACTGCTAGATAGAGCTGACTCACTTTGTAAATGGTAACAAGATATGTTTCTAATGTGGCCTCTTCAGTTAAGAAAGGGTGACATTAAAGTGTCATCGTTTCTGATAACGCTCAAAAATAATGTAGGAATAGAAGGCCTACGGGTGTTTCCTTTAGTATAAATTATTCAGTGGATAGTGATGATGGGTTGAAGAACATATATCTACTCATATATACACCTATATTTCTATAGATATATGTATAAAGTGTAAGTGTGTGTATGTATGAATTTATGAAGTATAACTCTAGACCTATATAGAAGTCCCTCCTGTAGGAGGAATTAGTGTTTAGTAAAGTGAAGTGTTCACTGTGATTTTGTAAATATAGGGAAGAATTTTTGCCAACCAGAGTCATGGCTTTCTTTTGGGATGGGATGGAAACATTCTTCAAAATTCACAATATACTTATGATTTCAAGAAATTCTCTAAAATGTTGCAGATTGAAATTCAGAATTCTCTCTTGCCTGACACCTGACAGATGGGATACCAGTTTATATACATAACTTGTGTTCAGTTGGTTAAAGGTTCTTTTTAAGGGTTGCTAAGGAGTGAATGTGTTCCATGAATGTTTTACGTATTGCTGAAAAATGAAGCGTATAAAGACCTTCAACACGTACCCTGATTCTTAAGCATAAACCTAAGTTTCATTAAATAATGAGTATCACTATTTCTAAAGAAGGAAAGTTGAAAGAAGTATTGAAATAGCTTTGTGTTTGTATCAGATTGCATGATATCATTCACTATTATGTATCAGTTCCAAAAAAACATGTTGCTTTTTAAACAGTAATTGCAATCTTCATCTACATACTGAAGATGAACTGACTTTTAAGAAAAGGTTTCATTGTAACAGTACTAGACTGTTTGTCAAGTAAAAAGAAAGAAAACACGAAAATCCACCCAAACTGAACACTAGAAACTTGGTTGTAATAAACAGGATTTATGTTCATTTGATTCAAACTAGAACAAAAGTAACAGTATGCTGTATGACAAAGCCACTTTTTTTGGTCCACATTTTGGTGATTATATATTTTGAAACAAAATTCCCAGTTAAATACATTCAACGTCTAATTTTGAAGAAAAACTAATGTCTAAGCTATATTAACAACTATCTATCTTCTATGCTTAAGCAACATGATTTAGTGGAAATTATCCTTTGAAAATTGATGTCATCGTTTGTCAGAAGTTCAGTTTAAAAATATATTTTCAATTCATTTTCTCTTAAATGTCTTTCCCTCCATGTCTTTTTTGTATGCACCAGATGCATAAATGCCGAACAATTGCATGAAAGTCCAGCATGAATTGTTAACATTGTCTTTTCCCCTCTCTTTCTACTGTTCATTTTCATCCATGTATTTTTTTTGTTTGCCATCACTTTTTTTTTTTTAATACTTCATGTTAAATTAATTTGAAAACATCCTAAGCTGTGCAACCTCTGCGAATAGTAACAGCGGATACCTGTCTGTTTCACTATTTAGTCCCTCCTCCTACCTCTCCGTCTTCCAAATCTGTGAGTACGCCAAGTGAGGCTGGAAGCCAGGACTCTGGTGATGGCGCTGTTGGATCTAGGTATGTTGCTTTCCTTGTCATATTCCTTTGCTTAATACTCATATTATGGATAATTAAGCTTTAGAAGACATCAAGGTTAATTACTTGATTATAATATAATATGAGGTTACAGTATTATTGAATCTGTGAACAATGACTGTTTTACAGAAGTACTTTAAAATTTGAAATGCAACTGTACTTACTAATTTGAAATTGCCAACATTAACATGGAGTTGTTTAAACTTGCAAGTTTAAAGTAAAATGAGACTGAATGTCTTGTGGTAATGTTGTATGCATGTATGTCTCAGGACAACGGAAAAGTGGAAAAGTCCAACTTCTAGGCTCTTCCCAGTTTTTTTCTAAAGGAGGGTGTGTATGACTGATAGGCTATTTCCTTTTTCCTTCTATTCTAGTTGGTCTAATAAAAGATGCTGTCTACAAACTTTGCCTTGCTTCTGATTTTATTTTTTTTTCCTTACTCAGAACAGTGTTTCTCGTTATTTCAACTTGCAGCCATCCCTGTAACACAACTGTACCACTCACAATCTCTCTCATTTGGCCAAGACATAGCACCATGTTAGTACGGCCACAGTTTTTTTTCAGTTCCAGTACTTGTTACATCTATTTGACCATTTTTTTGTGCATGTCGTGGTTTAACGCCAGCCAGCAACTAAGCACCACGCAGCCGCTCGCTCACTCCCCACCAGTGGGATGGGGGAGAGAATCAGAAGGGTAAAAGGAAGAAAACTCGTGGGTTGAGATAAGAACAGTTTAATAATTGAAGTAAAATAAATTAGAACAGTTAAACAGGCAAAGCAAAAACCGTGCACGCAAACAAAGCAACACAAGGAATTCATTTCCTCCTTCCCATGGGCAGGGAGGTGTTCAGCCATCCCCAGGAAAGCAGGGCTCCATCACGCGTAACGGTTACTTGGGAAGACAAACGCCATCACGCCCAATGTCCCCCCCTTCCTTCTTCTTCCCCCAGCTTATATACTGAGCATGACGTCACATGGTATGGAATAGCCCTTGGGCCAGTTTGGGTCAGCCCCCGTGGCTGTGCTCCCTCCCAGCTTCTTGTGCACCCAGCAGAGCAGGGGAAGGTGAAAAATCCTTGACCAGTGTGAGCGCCACTTAGCACCTATTTAGCAACAGCTTAGCACTACTTAGCAAGAACCAAAGCATCGGTGTATCATCGACATTGTTCTCATCCTAAACCCAAACCACAGCCCCATACCGGCTACCAAGACGAAAAATTAACTCCATCCCAGCTGAAACCAGGACAGTGCTTGACAGTTTGAGGAAATGCTGCTCTAAAGAGAGTCAGATAAATATTTCTGTTAAACTAGGAATTCAAAGTGGTGATATATGGGTGATAAGGTGCGAAACACTACTTCCTAAGAGTATTTCTAATGTTTCCCATGCACAGTCTGCAAGGAAGAGCAGTATTTGCCTATTAATATTTATAATTTATATTTTCTCAGCAAATGAAGTTCATGTACTTAAAATTTACTGAGTGCGTTGTGGATGAAGTTTAGTTAAAGCACAGTTACTAAAGCAGTTATCATCAGTTACTTTTGTGCTTATATGAGTATTTGTTTTGGAGAAAGAGTGAATACTTACACCACTTGAAACATCTTTTTAAAAAGACTGCAGTAACATTATGTCACCTGTCATGTTAATAAATAACCAATATACTTGTTCCTTAACAAGTAAGTTAGTAACTTACTTGTTAAGTTGTGAATAACAAGCAAATTTTAATTTATTTGAAATCTGTGATTATTGCTTATTAAATTGTCATTTTATATTTAAATTCACTGTCTAGAAGAAAAAACAAGAATTATTTGATGATGACTTTTTTAAAAAACAAGAATTTCTTTCCATTCATACATAATTTAATTTCAATATGAAACACAATATGTGTAGGCCATATATCTGTAATTGAACGCCATGTTGTGTACTGAATTTATCTCCACCTCATAGGTGTACTGTGCTCTCTGTATGTTCCTCAGACACAGTAATGTTGTATGCATACATTTTCTTATGAAGCCTTGAGAAGACTCGTATCCTAAGCCTCTATAGCTTGATTCATTTGCAAACTTTAAATCTGTCTCTTGACAATTCCCCAGACATCGAAGCATAAAAAATGTTGTGGTCTTGAAGGTGTGGAGGTATGAATGAATAGCTAAATTGAAGGCTATGTAGAGTCACTGTTGGAGTATCCTTGCTTATTTTTTGACCACTGGATAACATTCTTCCCCTCCCCCAGTAAACAGATGTCTATATCCTAGTCTATTAGTACAAGTTTGTGCAGCATTCCTAATGTCCATGTACATTTGAACTTAAAAGTTAATGGGAAAAATTGAACTGTGTGATATCCCTTAGTGTTACACCTGGCATTTCATATCAATATGAGATATGGTAGAAAGCCCAAGTTGTTCCACTGTGCTTGATAATCTTAAAACAAACCCTTTCATGTTAGTGTGTTATTTCAGTTCTCTCTTTTTTTTTTTTTCTTTTTTTTTTTTTTTTTTTTTTTTTTTTTTTTTTTTTTGATTTGTGGCCATTTGTTCTTTGGTCATGCTGCAACTATACAGAGATTATCTCCTTTGTTAGTTTAGTCTTTTATCCTCTATGATACTGAATCTTGCCAGTAACTTTACTTATTTAGTAATTAATAGAGCAGTGTTCAGACTCTGTTCCTGCTGTTACTTCCATCTGTCTTGCTTTATTTTCATCAGTAAAGAGTTTTGGTTCTCAGTTTGATACCATTCTTTATCTCTTTCCTCAGTTAAGAGTATAAATTCAAGACTGGAAATTAATACAATTAGTTTACTTTTAGGTTAGGTGGATGCTTCATAGAATTAGTTTAAATGCAGAAAATACTTCTCAGAGATATAAGAAGCATTAGGAATATGCCTGGATACAGAGAAGTTCGGGCATATGTGGAAGAATAGGAACTTCACTGAAGCTTCATTTAACTTAAGGCATAACAAACATCTGGAAAGCAAAAAGAACAGTATCTTACATCATTTTGGTACCCGTATAATAGGTGAATTTTATCTCCGGATGTTACGTTTATTTTAAAAGAATATCTCTGAGAAAGATTTAACTGTATATCTTGTACTGTTTATTGACCTGAACTGTTTTAAAAGGCAGACTATCCCTGGTACCACTGAAGCAACTGTTGAAAGTTAAAAGAATGCTTTGAAAGCAGGAGAGCAACCTCAGTAAGGGCTAGATCTTAAGCAGGCACAAAAGTCGGAGCCTTTTAAATTCGTAGCCCTTTTGTCTCAAGTGGGATTGAAAAAGTTGAGGAAATGTTTTACAAGTATTGTGGTAATGCAGCATTTGGATCTGTAGATAAGTCATCCTTTGCAGAAGCAACATGAAGGTTGGGGTGGTGGTTTCGTTTTGCTCTTTTTTTTTTTTTTTTTTTTTTTTTTTTTTTTTTTTTTTTTTTTTAAATGCATGATTGAATGACACATGAGCAATACCCAGCTTGAAGTCTCAGGCACCAAATTAAACTCCAAGTTTAAATCTATTTGGTCAAGAAAAATAGTAGAGACCTAAAGAATAAGTATACTCAAAATAATTAGCTTTATGGTAAGAGAGTGTCTTTTCTGATGCATAAAAGATATGGAAAGGTTTTAGAGATTTAGGTATTAAGCTATTGCTGTGGGTGCAATACCAGTTATGTAGAATGATATGCTAAATATGAAGACTGGATTTGTAATTCTTAATTAAACTATAATTAATTATTCTTCTAATGCATACTTTCTACAAGAACAAGGTAGTGCATGACATACATATATTCATGAGTTTTTATGGCATTGCCTATACATTTTTGACATCAACTTTACCTTTAGGAATTCTGCACCTGGTTTATAAGAACATTACTATCTATGGGATGGAAATGGAAAATTACCTTTTATTGACTTAGCGTAGTAAAAATATTACGCTTTTTTTTTTTTGTTATAAAACACGATTTAAAAAAAATAGTAGCATCGAAGAACTTCAGAAAAACCATGCATGTTTGTCTGTTAATCTCTCTTTTATAAGCTTGTTTTAAAATTCTGCCTAAGTCTGGTAGCAGGCAGTAGACTAAATGAAAATTTGTGGAGAAGGGATGAAGGCTGAAAATGAAGGGAGAAGGAAGATTTATTTCCCCCTTCGTATTTCTTCGGATACAAAAGCGACTTGAAATGGATCTATTCTCTTCATTATTCCACATGACTTTGAAATGTGTTATTAATATAAAGCCCACTATTTCTAAGAGATTTAAATATCTTAAATGGAGTTGGCTCTAAATCAGATGACACTTATAAGCCCAAGGCAGTGCTTAACCCATAATTACTGCAATGTCACATCTTGGAAACTCTAGCAGTTCTCTATCCCAGTGGAAATGCATTTTTGCCCCTCTACTAAAAGGCTGATGTGTTGACTCATTTCCTTTACCAATATGACAGTTTCCTCCACATATTTACTGCTCTGGGCAAGACTGCATTACATTAACAAATCTGTCTTCATATGACATGAACAAATCTGAACAGATTTTTAAAGGAATTTGAAGTTTTTAATGGTTCTTGTCAGCATTTAAAGTATTTTTATTTGCCTCTCATAAAGGCTACATTTGTTTGCAGATCTTTAACTTTCAATCTTTAAAATAATTTAATTCTTTTCTAATAGCTCTGAATTCTGTGTTTGCTTTTTAGCTTTTGTATTTGCTGCATGTATTATTGCACTGAATCGTTGCTGAATTTCCCCTAACTGATGTTACATTGCTTTGTTTCTTGTGAACAATGAAATAACTATAAGCTTACTGTAACTCTAGCATTTCATAGTGTGTATTTGCTTCACTAATCTCTGGCCTTTTTTGCTAATGCTGCATGATTGTTCAACCTGGGGTATCAGGACGCTGCATTGGGATACTGATCCATCAGTTCTTCAGCTCCACTCTGATTCCGATCTGGGGTATTGCATAGATTTCTTATATTCCCTCTTTCATGTACTTATGGATAATAAGTATAGGAGTATTTTTTCTTTAAGACTTCAAGTTGTTAAGAGACTGTTCTGTGAGTAACAGAAATTCACTATCCCTAGACTTAGTGCAGTTTGCTTGCAATGGGAAATTTTTATATTATTTAATATACATAAGATGCTTATTTCTAATAACAAAACTTACTTATTCATGTTTTTCTTTGAGTCATTCTTTGGAAAAATGTGAACTTTAAAAAGTCATTTCTTTAAAATAAAAAGCTTAGAATAACTGTATTTAAGAACAGAGTGAATCCCATCTTTTTCTTATAAATATGTTTATAAAAGCTGTAGCTCATTATAAGCACTTACTGAAACCCGTATTGTGCTGTAAGAATTACGATTCTGCCCACCAAAACCTTTCAAAAGGGGTTACTCTTTCTTTTCCTTTTATCTTAGGAGAAGGGTGGATAATAAGAAACTAAATCTGATATAGGTAAATTGTTGTTGGATCACTGCAGTATTACTGCAATACGTACTGAAACTAGCTTTTATAGGAAGTACAGTGACTGAATGAATGTTATGTGGTTTTTGGAAGTATGTTATGTATTGTAGTTTGATACTAGCTATATCTGCATTTATAGGATCTTCCATAAGCTAAAGTCAGAAAGCTCAGAGGTTTTCAGTATTGTATCTGTAATACATTACTCCAGAATAAATCACTTGTATGCGAGTTTCAGATTAGACTTGCCAGTTCTGCATTCTAAATAATATCTTAGAGGTATACAAAAAAGGACAACAAAGTTAAAGGGACTAGGAAATGCTTTTTCCTTCAGAATAACTAAGCTGTTTTTTAAGCTTTAAAACCCTAGAACCATTGCTATACAAACATGAATTGTGAGCAGATCTGTTCCACTGAAGAGATACGTCATATATGTAGCAGTACCCTAGTCAACCACAAAGAGCAAAACTTTAAAATTACATCCTATAATCCAGATATTTTTATATATATATTTACATACCTTTCTTTTTGTTGCAGATGTATAAATGGCTGCTGATTTTAAGTAATAATAAAATATTAGTCATAATCATGTGACTTCTTCAGCGTTAAGTTTCCACTGGATTTAAGTTTGACTAAGTAGTGCTGTGACATGATGACTTGGGTATTCTAGGCAAAATGTGAAGTAAGTCATAAAGTTAAATATTTTTTTTTCTGATTTCTCTATTAATTTTATTTAGACGTGGACCTGTTAAACTTGGAATGGCCAAAATTACACAAGTTGACTTTCCTCCTCGAGAAATTGTTACGTATACAAAGGAGACGCAAACACCTGTTATGACTCAGCCAAAGGAAGGTGAATGGTTAACTTATTACTACCTAAGTTATTTTTCTTTTCTTTTATTATAATAATCATGACTGACTGAATTAGAACCAGCACTTGTGATATTGAAACTTAATAAGGTAGAGTGAAGGTTGATATGTGAGATAATTGATATAAATTCAATTATTAAATTCATACAGGTCTTACTTAAGAGCATTACTGTCATTCTGCATCTTGTTTAACATTACTTTTATTACTAATACATGATATTTTCTCACTCCTAGTAAACATTCAGGTTAGACACTAATTTACTTAATTAGCTGAAAACTGATAAATAAAAATGGGATATATCATGCGTTTACAACGTTTAAGAATCCACACGCAACTTACTTGAAGGGTGTGTATCCTGACAACAAACTTTGCAATTAAACCCCCCACACTCTTTAAGAATTTGAATTTTTATATCTGGAGCTTATACATTGAGTTTTGAAAGAAGAAACTAATTTCATTATTAACCCGTGCAGTTTCTGTTCTCACTAATTGAACATATGCTTTCCTTTAGTCATGACTTGTTTGCTTTTCAGAAAAGAAATTTTTCCAAAGAAAACATAGTTGGCTAATAAATTTGCTTTTCGGTGTTGAAACACTTGAATTTAGCTGCAAATGAAAATACTAATCTTGACCTAGTCTGTGTGTAGTTCTACAACAAAATCACATGGTTGTTTAATGTGACTGACTTTGAGTATGTGTCTTTGCTAGCAACTTTAGGACCTAATTCTACATTTGCAATTTTGCATTTTCCTGCTGTTTGGTATGTGAACTTTCGGGTGAGATAAAAGCACTTTTTAAAACATGAAGAGAATACTCAACTGAAATCTTACACTGGTGTTTCCAGAAACTGTATAATTTACCTGAAAGTGTAATACAGATGATATAGAGTGTAAAGTGTAATACAAGTGATGCAGAATTGTTGTTGTTGCTCCAGTCTGCATCAATATGCTGCTCTTGTCTGGAGTGTGTCTTGAAGTCACTTTGGCAAGTTCAACTAGATGCAAATGACACTGTGAATGAGATTAAGTGAGAGCAGGGGAAAGGGGAGGGAAAAGAAAGGAAGTAAATTGCAACAATACTTTGTGTTGAGAAGTTTTTCCTTCTCATCCTGGGTATCCAGGATAAGGGATTGATGTGTCTTCAGAACACAAACTAGATCTTTCAAACTTCGTTATTCAGTGAGCCAGAATAACAGAGGATATGCTTTTTCTCTAACTGCATTTCTTTTCCGTTCTTCATTTTATCCATATCCCTGCACAGATAGATGTTTTGGGTTTTCCTGCTTTCATTTCTCCCATGCCTTTACCTTTTCCTTTCTCTATTCCCTCTGGTTTTTGTTTTTTTTTTTTTTTCTTTTCTTCCCCTCTGTCAGATTCATGGAATCTGAAGACTTAGTTCATAGTTTGTAGAAGAGTTTGAAGAGTTTTACTTCTGCCTGCTGTCAGTGGAAATTGCCTGGGGTTGTATGATCTTAGTTTTAAACTCAGTGGATAGGCTGTAGTTGAGGTTTACTGTAGTGGAGCTGGAAAGATGGGTCATCTGTATTTCTGCATTTACCAGAAAGGTCTCTCAGTACAGATGTTGTCTCCTGATCCATTCCACCTTAAAAATAACACTTCTCTTGAGAGCCATCATCATTATTTTATGTATGTGTGTTTCACGAAAGTCACTTACAGATGCTTTTTTATCATTTCAGTGTTGAGGATCTTTTTAAGGTCTGTCTTAAGACTGCCTAAATACATTCATACATTCCTAATTAAGCTCTATGTTCACAATTTACGATACCATCTGAAATAGGACATGGGTTTAAAAAAAAACAAAAAAAAAAAAACAACAAAAAAACCCCACATGCTGCCTCCAAAAAAAGAGAGTCACTAGGTTAGAGATTTTGATTATGGGAAGAAAATTTTGAAGTCTTTAAAACAATTGGCAAAAGCAATATGCTGAATTTTCAGAGTGCAATTAGATACATTCTGTCTAATTTATCTCATTGATTCTTGTTTCTTTGTACAATCTGAGGGGTTTTTTTCAGTACACTGTAAACTAAAGATAATCTTACAAAGTACACTTGAAAGTTGAGCTTGCAACTGAATTTACACATACAAGTAATCTTCAGTAAGATCCCTTGTACAGCAACAAGTTGCATCTCAGCTAGGCTACCTCAAATGTTCACGCTTCCTTATAAAATGAAGTGGACTGGACCTTTCTTAATTATCATACCTTGAGATTTTAAAATGCTGCTGGAGCTGTGCTTTTGAACAAAGGAAAATGCAGATGACACCAAGTTGGGTGGAAGTGTCGATCTGCTGGAGGGTAGAAAGGCCCTACAGAGGGATCTGGACAGGCTGGATCGATGGGCCGAGGCCAACTGTATGAGATTCAACAAGGCTCAGTGCCGGGTCCTGCACTTGGGTCACAACAACCCCATGCAACGCTACAGGCTTGGGGAGGAGTGGTTGGAGAGCTGCCTGGCTGAAAAGGACCTGGGGATGTTGGTCTGAACAAGCCGCCTGAACATGAGCCAGCAGTGTGCTCAGGTGGCCAAGAAGTCCAATGGCATCCTGGCTTGTATCAGGAATAGTGTGGCCAGCAGGACCAGGGAGGTGGTAGTGCCCCTGTACTCGGCACTGGTGAGGCCACACCTCGAGTCCTGTGTTCAGTTTTGGGCCCCTCACAACAAGAAGGACATTGAGGTGCTGGAACGTGTCCAGAGGAGGGCAACGAAGTTGGTGAAGGGTCTAGAGAACAAGTCTT